GAGGCGTCTAGAAGCTGTAATCACCAACAAAGGCTTTTCTACAAAGTATTAAATAAAGTGTGTTCAATACTTATTCCCTGTGTCATTGCACTTTATTTAACATGATTCAACTTGTGTACTTAAATGTTGTGATTTGTTTGTATGACTTCAATATTTGGCTTGATGGCAACATCTGGTGGAAATGTTGTGTCAATAGTCCACTTAGAAATCCCCTTACTGATAAAAATGCTGATGTGTCAAATACTTATTTTCCCCGCTGTATTTATCATGTGTTTATACCAGTCGTTTTAAATGTTGTGCAACCTACGGAACTATAAATGGAAATCTGATCAATATTTCAATGAGATTGGAGGAATACACAGCTTCTTTTACTTAAAATACTGAAGGTGAAATCCTGTGTAATAAATATCCATGTTGTTGTCAGTCTTTAACCAATTATTCATTTGACAATATCTCCCAATGAAAATAGCAAAAGTGTAAAATAACAATATTTAACAATAGATAAATTATTACATCCCATGTCATTTCCAGCTCTTGTGTTTTTAGAGGTCTGGGAATGATGAGAAACATGTTTCCATCCTAGGATACCAGAACCGCTCCAGTGGGAAATGGGCTTTACTCCAACTAGAGCACTTTGCTTGGCTAGTGTCTTTTGGAGATGTGCTATTAATGGCTGAACATTAATAAGAAACTCAGACTCGTTGCAAGTGTGCACACTGTCACATGTCAAAAGACGGTGAAGGACTTTGGAAGAAGAATCTTGTCAAATCTTGAAAATGAAAGTACGACCCTGTACTTTTGTCCTCTTCTGTGAACCGTTATGTCTTTCTGGTTTGAAGCACTAATGACAGCGTTCGTCACTTATGCCTCCTCTGCTGTTGTTCTAAAATGTGATATTTGTGTGAACAAGATGGAAATAGTCAGGTTGAAAGAAAGAGAAAGTGTAAATACTGCAGTTCACACACTGGTTCCTGAGGGACCAGGCGCAAGTGACATCAAGGGAGCAACACAAGTGATGACAATTAGTCACACTGAAATGGTAACATTTCTTTAGAGCTCCTAGCTGCTGGCATCTATAAAAGATAAATGGCAACTCTAGTGAGTAAAAAGCTGTAAAAACCAACATCACAAAGCACAAAGGGCCTGTAAGGAGAAAACAGAAGATAAATGTTTAAAGAGAGACAGCTAAAGAGAGAGAGAAAGAGCACGGGAGAGACACAGAGGAAGAAGAGCAGAAGCGCAGAGAAAATAAAAGTGTGAGTGGTTTCATATCATGCCCTCAGATATACTGTAGAAATAGATTCTTCTGAGACGAAACATCAATAGTCACTGGGGTATTTGTTGTTAAATATACATTAAAAAACACTTTACACTTTCATTCTGTGTGCGCTCTGGAGTTTTAGCCTGGAGGTATGACTTTAAATTCTAGCCTGGACACTATTATTTCGTACTGCATGGCCATCTGGGCATTAGTACTTCCATCTGATTTAATTGAAACAAAAAATGAAAGCAAATTAGAAAGTGAATCTTTAAATAGTTACACAACCAGGATGTTTCTTAAGTAATTGTAGTTCTAAGAAGTGCTGTGGTGTATTCATATTTCCTAGTGGCAAAAACTATATATGTTAATCTTTGTTATATGTTGAAACACATCAAGGTAACCTACAGTTACACCTCTGATTGCAGGCAGGAAATATTTTAAATGCCGTTTTAATGTTGCATTAGTTTGAATGTTGCCTGTTTTGTGAGCAGTAAACAGCAAAAGAATATTTGCATTTTATGGATTACAGCCAGGCAATGTTTAATTAAATTAAATGAAAATGAAAATATCAGTTTCCTATTTTCTCCACTTTGATGTTCAATTCATGATTAAAATAAGATTCATGAGAATGATAAGTTAATAACAAGGAGGTAATTCTAATGGAAGTCTGATTAATAAATGCCAGGAAACAGTCTGAAGCTGTTAGCAATATCATTAAATAAAGCTGCTAAAATTTACAGGTTCATAAGCCTCAGTGGGTTACGATTTTCTGACCATCTCAATCATTGATTGAGTAAAACAGAACTTAGACATGGATTTAAGTCTCTGCTAGTCCAACCATGTGCATTCACTTCCCCACAAACAAAAGCCAAACACAATGACACAGGCCAAACTGCAACCCATTAGGGCCAGCCAGCTGTCAGAACAGGTCAGCAGTTCTGCTATGCACTGGACCCTGTCTGAGTGGAGGCTATCCAGGCCTTCCTCGTTCACTGGTCAATTGACTTTTGGAGGCCAGTCAACATGCGTTTGGGCTGGGTCAGCCTTGGTGCAGCGTCAACACAAATCCACAACTGGGATAAATCTGATGAGAAAAAGATGCACGAGGACACACTTGACTGAAGTTCACTTCATGTACGTGCAGCTATGTATCTTTAAGCCAAAAAAAAAAAACATTCAACAAAAGTTTTGTGTGTGTGTGTTTTAAAAAGCCACTGCAGATTGTAACTGATGAAAAAACATATTTTGCAAATATCACAGCAAAAAAAAAAATCCATTTGAACCAAAAATTTAACAATGACAATCAATGATTTTAATAAAAACAGATTTCCTATATTAAAACGAGCATCTAATGTGTGTGGACGCACGTTTGCAGACAACCACAGTCCCCTGTATTCCTCACTGCCGTAAGTGTCACAACTCCACTCCCCTGCATTAGCCCTCTGATGCTGTGAGAGAAACAAATATGCCATTAGAAGCACTTTTACAAGTAGGCACTCATCTTCCAATTAGCTTAATGTGGCCCTCTTCCCCCTATATTTTCCAGTCGTGCCCCACCTCTTCTTGTACACTCCCTCCAGTAAAATCTCATTAATCCACCCCTCCCCCATCTCCCCTAGTGCTATGACATATTAGTCTGTCATTATCCATCCCAGAGTCCTTTAAACAATGCAGCTAAACCTCTGTTTGCCAGGTTAATGACTATTAGCCAATAATTA